TGGGGAGGGGTCCAGGCTGCTTGAAAGAGATGCATAGGCCAGGAAGCCTGTGGCATACTGGAGACAGAAATAACCAGGAGGCTGGTGTGTGCTGACCAGGGCCAAGTTGCAGGCATGTCTGAGGGAGGAGGGCTCATGTTCTGTATTCATCCTATTTTCCCATAAAGTTTCAGAAGAGGCTTTGCTGGCAAGGAAACCAGAACTGTCATCTGTCTAAATTCTTTGAACCCCATCTTGAGATCTACAGAAACACTGAGCCAGGCAAGGGTGTTCAGAAGTACAGGTTAGAGCTGACATGTTTGCTCCCATGTCCCTCTCTCGAGTCCAAATGCCTTGTTAAAAGTACTTTCTTGGCAGAGGCACACAGAAGGAGAAGTCCGACGCAAGACGCTCAAGAAGAAAGTTGGCTCCTCTGAGTGTTCCTCATAGCTTTTCTAGGTAAAGGAGGCAAACAGGATGCTCAGGAGGGGAGAGTTATTCGAACCCCAGGTCTCTTTTGGTTCCTGCTCTGGGTCACAGACACTGAAAGAACATGAAGCAAAAGTATCTGAGTCTTCCAACCCTGAAAGCATGCTTCCCCCTCAGGAGGCAGCAGAGATTCAAGTGTGGCCTCAGAGGCTAGCCCGTGCGGCTAGCTGTAATGCCAACTGATTCACACACTCAGAGCAAACCTCTCAAGGGTCTTGCCCACAGGAAGTCAGAGTGCATCAGAGCAGCTCTACACATCTGTTCTCCACATGTAAGTGGCATGGGGAGGATGCTCCATTTTTACGTGTATTCTCACTACCCTAAACCAGACACCCTCAGAGGGGATTTTGATGTTCCCTGAAGCAGGGAGAAAGGGAAAGACAGACAGTAAATATCTGTAAGAACGTCTACTGCAAACCATATTCTACATGTGCTTTTGCTCATGTAATCCCTATATCAATTCCACTTTATAGTGAAAAAAAAAAGCCTCAAAGATTGAATCAATGTTCCAAAGTCATGACATGACAAAGAAACGTGGCTTGATTCCCAGTCTGACTCTTGAGCCCAAACTGTCGGCAATTGATCTCAGTCAGTCCCCTAGATAGGAAGAGCATAGTCTGGGATTCATGCTGGATTTATTCACAAGGGAAGAACTCCTGGGCTTTTGAGAAATGATTAAACAGCCAACGCATGACCTTAAGCAGGTCAGATGGAAGAGTCTTACAGAGACACCAGCAGAACAAAAGTTTGAGTAGATCAGGACAAATTGTGGTAGTGTTTGTAAAGCATTTATTTTTTTGCTAACTCAAAGCAATCTCTGGGCCCTAGAGCTCAGGAAGGGAGCTGGGAGTGGTTAAGGGGTAGAGGCAGGAGCTGAGGCGCAGAATGAAGCAGCAGTTACATCCATCACTTCTGAGGCTCCTCCATGTGGCTTCTGGTTGAACACTGGGGCTGAAACAGCCAGCCTCAGCCCTACAGTTGTTGATGCAAAAATGATTCCACAACCCGTCAGGCATTGCTGGAAAAGACGTTGTGGCTTTTGCAGGTTCACAGCATTGCAACATGAATTCACAAAGGCATCCCTGGCCCTGTATAGCAAGCAGAGTTCCCAGCCAATGCAACACAGGGGCTCAAGAGGCGTTTGCTGAGTTTCACAGTTGAACAGAAAATGGGGACAAGATGCCAAAACTCTAACGAAGCTCAGCTTCCCCTCATATGCCCAAAGCTCATTAGATCATACAGTTGTCAACCCCACAGAGAGAGCACTGGTGTCTGACCTGAAACTGAGCTACTATGAACCAGCAAGTCAGTGTCATTCCAAAGCCATTCATCCAGTTGTCAGGTCCCCATCTGAACAATGTGCCTCCAATCAGTTGAGTCTTTCTGTTGACTAAGAGGACAGAGATGAGGAGTCCCACAACACACTTCAGACTTGCTGGCAGGGCTGTGCATGCTACCTTTCTGGCCTTTAAACTGTACTTGCACATGCTCAGCTTTTTGGAGTGAGACTACTGAGGTACAATTCATTTTCTTCTTAAAACAAATATTGGTTTTAGAATGATTTAATTAATGCTATTTTTAAAGAACCTACTTAAAAGGTGCCACTATTGAAGGCAAAAGTTAGGGTTTGATCAACCTGCTTCATGACTTTTTTATTTATTTATTTTTTTTTTTTTTTACTTTTTAATGCATTTATTAATTCTTCAAGAACTTCATGACTTTTTAAATGGCAGTACAGCGGTATGTGTTAAAGGAAGTATTATAGTATGGGTGTGAAATGTCCTCCACAGAGTTATGTTTGAACCCTTGGTCCCAGATGATGGTGCTATTTTATGGGGTCTGTCAAACACTTAGGAGGTAGGGCCTAGATAGAGGAAGTGGGATGCTGGGGAGAAGGGCCTTTTATGAAAAGACTCACTTCTGGAGTCTCTCTGCTCCCTGGTCTGCCTAGATGTGAAGAGCCAACCCTAAACTCCTCCCACCACAGCAACCTGCCCCCACCACCATGCTTTCCTACCAGATGAACTGTGCCTTCAAACATCCTGCTTAAGTTGTTCCTTGTTAGATACTTGGTCAGAGATGATAAAAAGAAACTAATATAGGAAATCAGCACCACCGCCCAGTTTGTGCAGACTTCACTGTTTTTGTAAGTGCCACAATGAACACATCTAAATGACAAACATACACAAATCCAGTGGCATGAGCCAAGGATGATGAAGCATAAGCACCACTGGATTGACTGAGGTGCAGTAGGAGAGGCTGTTGGGACATGACCATGTGCATCTCAGTGGTACTCCAGGAGACATGGATCCAAGCAGAGCCTCAAAAAGATACTCAGGTCCTCTGGAACTTGGGTGTGGAGAGGTTGAGGAGAGGTACACACAGAACAAGACAACTGGCTCTGTGGAGGGTGGGCTGGGGCATAGATGGGCTAGTGAAAAGGTGACATGGACATGGCAGGTGCCACAGTGATTTGGGAGTCATTCCCAAGGGCCTCTCATTCTCCACAGGGTTCAAGAAAATAAAGGTCTTGTGCAAAGATCAGTTGCTACAGTAACAAGAGAGCCCTGGACTCTCTCGCAGGTGGCACTCCTGACCATGGGCCTAAGGTCCAGGTCTCCTTTCAGGGAGCCCAAATGACCACACCTTCCTCAGAGATACACTGAGGTCAACACAACCACATACTCCAAACATGCCAACCATACCATAAGTCCAAGACAAGCAGAGCTCTAATTTGTCCTCTGAGGACTAATTTAATGTTTCTTTGGAAATATCGAATACTCAGTTCCATCACTGACTACACTGGCACCTTGTCTCATCTTCCTCCTGGGTGATGCAACACAGTTTACCTTCCCTTGAAGCTATCTTTTGCACACTGATTTATCTTGACTTACTTTGCACATGTCTCCTGAGTCCAGATTCCAAGAGGTCAAGGAGTCTGCCTGGTTCCTGTCCCTGAACACAGTATAGTGCCCAGCATGGGGGCAGGCCTAGATCATTTTTGTTGAATGGCCAAATGTACAGGGACTCCAGTCTTCACCTGCAGTGAGTGCCCTAGGCAGAGGCACCTAGAACAAAGATGATAGGCATGGCAGGCTTGCCTCCATAGGGAGAAGCTGACCTGCCAGGAAGCACCCAGAGCTATGCCCTTCTTAGTGAGTTCTGACAAACTGCCTCCTGTGTGCCTACAGGAGGGTCTTGGCCTCTTTTAAGTCTTTTGCTGGAGTAAGCTCAGCTGTCAGCCATTCTGGGGCTTGTTTCCTTAGGTTGCAGGGGAACCCTATGGAGTTGCAAGCCCCAGGAAAGAGCACCAGCAGCCCTTGAGGGTAGTATCTCTGGGCAGGCTCTCCAAAGCCCACTGGGCAGAGAAGCCAGCAAGGCATCCTGGGAAACCACCAGAGGCCTTCAGACTGACAGATAGAGAGAGGGAGACTGGGAGGGAGATCAGTGCTAGCTTCCTGGGGTGCTAAGTCTGCCAGCTGACAGTGGGAATTAGCATCTGAACACCTTGATAAAAGGAAAAAAGAAAGAGCTGAATTCCTGAATGAAAAATAGATTATTCACTGTCAGAGTGAACAATAGAATAAGACATAAATAGCAGCCTGGCACAGGGCACATCAGTTTTGCTCAAAAACGGTATGCAAGGTACTCTTGAAGCCCAGAGCTGAGGTGCTGTAGTCAAGCTCCACACCAGCAGGTGCGAAGGATGGTGGGTGGAAGAGAGGAAGCGTGATAATAATCTCTAGGAATTGGAAAGAGCATGATTCTTCAAGTGAGAGTCTAAGCATTCCAGTTGTTATTTACAGCTGGGGATGGGGCACATAAGAAGGAAAGGAAGGTGGAAGGAGGGAGGAGAGAAGACCCCAAAGTAAAGAAAACAAAGGTTCTACTGCTTCCCTTGAAACTTCTCAATACTGTTAAGGACAACATGCAGGTGTGCTGGTCTGACACCTGAGAGCAATAACTAATACCAAGAACTCTAGAACAGCCACAAACCTGGCCCTCTCATTTCACTGTCCCACATAAGTGCTGTATGATGAGTGACCAGGTCCTCTGGCCGGGCACTTCAAAGGTTATCCATGCCTAGCTGGTTCCTCTGCTGCCCAGCAGGAGGGATGTGATATTGGCTTTGAGGTCAGATACCACAGCTCTGTGAGCTGAACTGGGCTGTGGAGTCATTTTCCCCCATGATCCCTTGAATCATACCCCTGCCAAATGTCAATATTTAAAACCTCGGAACCATGACTGCTACTGATGCTAACAGCTTACTTATCTTGGGTCAGTACCAGCATTGGCTGGAGCCATGTGAAGCCTGCTGTGCCATCTCTTAACTTTCAACAGTGGGAAAAAAAAAACCCATGAAGCAGACAAACTCTCCCCTCTTCACAGAGCCACAGGGAAGGAAACTGTTTGCCCAAGGCCTGGGGGAGAAGCCAGGGTTCTAAACCTAGCAGGAAAGTCCTGCCCAGATGTAGGCTCTTGGCTGAGAAAAGCCATGGGCAGACACAAAGCCAAGAAGGGGCTCATCTTACCTTAGTGAAGGTCAGACAATCCTTGTCTTGGTCTCTGTCCTTCATCTCAAAATCATAAAGTGCTTTGCCTTGGGGTGGGGCCTGTGGCAAGGGCCTGACACACTGGATGTAGCTGGCTGGGAGGAAGCCATGCGTGCCCTGCAGCTCCCCATGGTACCAATTATCATCTACCTTGCGTCTCAGGATGATGATGTCCCCTTTGTTGAATTTGAGGTCACCAGGTTCCTTCCCTTCATAGCTGTAGAGGGCCTTGCCATAGGGAAGCTGGGATAGATTCTGAAAACAGAAAACAACATGAGGTTACTTGACATAACCCTCCCCAACAATTGGGAAATGTGTCCTGGCATCATGGATTCAAAGGTCTTCGTGAATCTTGAGTGGGCATCAACAGCATTCTGAGACTAGAAAATCTTCTAAAGGAATAAACAATCCATCATAGGGCCATACAAGTTCCCTGACCGCAGAGAGACAAGAGAATCCCCACCACAGCAAACACCATCACTAAGCATGAGCATCAGAAGCAGTCCCAGATTTTCTTTTTTTTAAATTTTATTTACTATTTTTATTTTATGTGTATGTATGTATTGCCTGCATGTAGGTAAGTGTACCCATGTTGTTCAATGTCTGAGGAGGTCAGAAGAGGCTGCTGGATCCCCTGGGACTGGAGTTACAGACAGTTGTTAGCTGCCATGTGGGTGCTGGGATTCGAACCTGGGTCTTCTGCAAGAACAAGTGTTCTTAACTGCTGAGCCATCTCTCCAGCCCCAGTCCCAAATTTTCTACATAGACCAGTTCATGGTGTGCAAAAGGTTCTGAAGGAATTGAATCAGCCTCTATCACAGACAAGAAAGATCTAAGCACAAGACAGGATAACTGGCTTAAAGCAAGTTGAGCAGCCCAGCAAGCATCTCATCCATTGTGCTGTGACTCCTCTAAGGACTCAACTAATGACACAAACTCACCAGGCCCAGGTGAGAGACCCATGGTGGAGAAACTCAGAGGCCACTCCCAGGCTCTTAGTCCCAGGTCATATCCCTCCCCATCCTCCAAGCCAGGGAATACATCCTTTCATTTTACCCAACAATCTGGTCCAGAGGAAAGAACAATTTCAAGGGCATCTAACCTTGGTCTTGAACTATTAGGAGATGCTCTGTCATCCTGTCAATAGTTAGTCAACCTATCTAAATGAAATCTTTCACCTTGGACTCAAACAGTGACCAGTTCTAAAGTCCAAACAAAATTCTTGGCAACCTTCTGCCCATCAACAAGGAGTCTCAATCCTGAGGTTGATCAGATATTACTGTCCACTCCCTATATCCCTCTAACTGACTGTATTTCCTAAACACTGACCAGCTGCACGGGTTTCTCTAGCTTTTGTTTCCTAGTGGCTGACACTTGCTCAATAGAGTAGGCTTTGCCAAAGATCCACTCTGTGCCAGAGGAAAGTCTTGCCATTGTCCCTGTGTCAGTGCCTGGCAATTCCCTACTAAAACACACTTTCTCACCAGGGTTGCCTGTGCCGAGGGTTTCTGTGTATTCAAATCTATCAATAGCTGCACAAGTTCGCAGCAGCAGTACATCTTTGTAGAGGGTTTAGTAGCAAACTGCAACTCAATCATTCTACATTTATGTCTCAGAAATGTCTGATGACAGTGTTTAAGAGAGAGTTGCTGGAAGACTGACAAACAACCCCACTAACCAGTTAAACAGTAACACCAGAGAATTTTTCATTACAGAACACGTTCTGGATCGCTTTGCAGTGTAACAGGCCCAGATTTTAGAGAGCAGAGGCAAAGGGGAATTTGTAATACAAGCACTGTGCTTAGAAAAAAAATGAGAAGAGGTAGCTGGCTGTAACATCAGAAGACCCCACTGCCACATGAGGGCTAGCCTACTCCCTAGTCCAGGAATCCTTAGTCAGAGACAAATCTGTCTGAAAACACTTCTGGTTGTCAAAACTGGGAGGAGTACAGCTGGCGTGCAATGAATGGTCAGGGATGCTGCCAAATATCCTTCACAGGACATTCCCTAACGACCAAGAACTATCCAGTCCAGAATGTCAACATGTTGGGAAATCCTAGCCCAATCTGTTAGGTTAATTTACAAAAAAGATGGACAATGTTTCTTCTTTTTCAGCTCAGGTTACCACAACATTAAAAGCTAAATGCATTCATTTTCATGATGGAAATATTTTCACACAGATTTCCACCCAGAAAAGAGGTTTAAGAGAGCACGAAGAAAAGTACCTGCTCTTATGATCAAAATATGTCCTCCACTAGACATCCAAAAGAAAACTTCCTTGACACAGACTGGCACTGTATATCTGTTTGTCAGACTCATCTTATCATTGAGAGGGAGACTCAAAGCAGTAATCTAAGAGCTATGGCCTCTGGCTGTTTGGTTGCTTTTACTACCACTGATCACAGTGTGGGCATGAAAGGTCATGCTGCCCCTGCATCATCACTGTCTCCTCCAAGGCTCTCACTCTAAATGAGCATGGGCCCCTGCCTCAGCTCCCCCTGCATGGAAAGGACTTAGGGCTTCAACTCTGGCTTTCTCTGGACAGGCTAACAGAGGATCCATCACAAGTACCATTCACATCCACTATGGACAACTATGACCTTGGATCACCCAGTTCTACTGGGAGAGTAAGGATGCAGGGCCAGGGAAATGGAAGCATTTCCCAGGAGGTAGCTTGGCTGCAGGGTCTGGGCTATAGACTACCACTGGGGCCAGGGGTCCACAGTTACCCTCTTCCTGGTCCTGAAAGGCATCATTTCTGAACTTCAGGGGACTCTGGTTTTTACTAATTCTCCATATGGGTGACAAACTGATGCAGGTTGTGTCATTATTGCTACTGGCCCAACTCTACTTGTTTCTGTGTATCTCCAACTCTCTAATCAGTCTCCGCTTCCACTTCCAGTCTGACCATTAGACTTCACATCAATCCAAACACTTGCTTGACATATCTACTGGGTGTTCCATAGGCTTTCCAGTGTCAGAATCTGTTCTTTTAGCCCTGTTTTCTGTTCCTCATCCTGATCATTAAGTCTCTGTCTAACTGTACCCATCCTTCCCTTAGCCTCAGTATTCATCCTCAAAGCTCCTAATGTACTGCTGCGCTCTTGTCCCTTTCCTTCTTCCTGCCCACCTCTCCTGTTCTCAATGTCCTATACTGTGCGCTGGCTTCCCAGGTGCAAATCTGAGCCTACCCTGTAAACTTCCAGTGGCTTTCACTACTCTAGAGGGATCCAAACTCCTTGGCATAGGAACAAAGGTCCTGAGCTACCATCAGCACACTTTTCTAGCCATTGTGGGCAGCATAACCACTCCTAAGGAAGATGTGCTTCTGGGATCTACGGGCTCTGTAGATACAGCTCCACAGAACCTCCTTTCCTTCCCAGACCCACAGCACTCAGGCTGGGCTCCTAAGCCTGGGAGCTGCCTGTCTGATACATTAACAGGTCTGTGCTGTACTCACCACAACATCCACTACCTGAGAAAAGCCTGACATGCAGCAGATGCCCTTTATTTGCTGTTGCTGTCAAGGAACTCAGAGTAGTCCTAAGTTAGGCCTGGGCCTCTGTTCCAGCTGGTAGGTAAGGAGAAGGGAGTGGGGACCAGCAGAGGCAGGGAAAGTTAGAGCCCACCCATACACCTCTTGTGACTGTCATGAGCAAAACCTATAGGGGCAATAGGACACATTTCTGAGGAATAGATACATACATACATGTCAGAAATGATACCAAGAGGTAGTTTAGAGGAGTCAGAAACTGGTTCTCCCTGTTAAAAAGAATTCTCAGAAATGGTGACTCCAGGCATATCCACAATCTTTCATCTTCAAAGGTTAACACATTAGTTCATAGACAGTCCTAGTGGCAGATGAACACTACTGGGGGGAGGGGTAGAGATGAGCCTTCTGCATATCTCACTGTGACAACCCAGAGAGCTCTGGGGCACTGTACATGTCCCAATCAGAGCCCTTTCTTTCTCTTCAGAGACAACTTCTCTCAAAGGGAGTATGCTCCCCTTAGGAGAAATTGAGTTCAAACACTACCAGGAAGCCACCATTAAGACATTAAGAAAAAAGAAATAAAAGGAAAGGGGGAGAAATACATCTGGGAAGCCTATAGGACAATTAACACCAGCTACTCCTGCAAGGCATTAATAATAATTAAAACTTATAATGTCAATTTCATGGCTCATTACTTAGATGAGGCACACAGATCTTCCTCTGGGCTTAATATCCTACCCCATGGAGACAGGGTTCTTAAATATGCATAGCAGCATTCTCCAGCTTCTAAAGGATCACACTCAGCAGTCAGCTGTGACAAATGGGCTTCCATCATGACCCCATCTCTGCAGAGGCTTTCAGGCACATCCCTGAACCAAGGTGTCACCATAGCCCGCAGCAGGGTGGGTGAGCACACTAAGGTGGTTCCTACCCCTACAGAGGCCTAGAAACCTGGACCGAAGAGCATGAACCAAGAAGCCCTCCTCTTTTAGACCTGAGGAATCCTCCCTTCCTTCACACAGTGTCTTTCACTTTACACTGCCATTCTGGTTCTAGCTACCCATTATCAAGGGCTGTGGGTACCATCAGCACAGACATTTGCCCTGGTTTTGTCCTTAACCCCTGGCCTGGTAAGGTAACAAGGTCAAGATATTAGCGGATTGAATGACTATGTGAAAGCTGTCAGAATCCAAAGGAAATTACTTTTGTCAGGCCCTAGCACAAAGTAAATCCATAAATAAAGCTCAAAGGCTATTAAGCCTTCATGATTGTTAACTAAAACAAGACTGACAGAAACACACACTCATACACACTTTTTTTTTAATCAAAGATTAATCACTTGTTGGACTTTTGGCCAAGATTAAGTGCAAAAAAATAAGGGTTAAAAAAATAGCCAAGTTTTGTTTAAGGTATTTTGTGAAATCCCCAGTTTCCTTTGGAAACTTCCTCACCTCAACTTCCTTGCCAGAGTCCTATAATTTCCTATGGTACATGAATTTCCACTGCAGTGCTGTGCTATTTCTAAGTAAGTATCATTCATTATTTTTCAGAAAATTTCTCTGTGATCAGAAATTAGATAGACAAACATAGACTAGAAAACCAAGTCCCCCGGATTAGGGCTGTTCTAGGAGAAACTATCCTGCTTATTACTTCCTCCATAATGTAAGACTTGGAGCCCATGGCTAATCGTGGCCAGGCCTGGATGAACAGGGGGCTCCCCAGTGACTGCTTGATGAGGACCAGGGTATGCCAGCTAGAGGCT